CTTTTTTTTTCGTCATCTTGCCCTAACTAGAACTACACATACCCATTGAAAACCCCTCCCATCTGCGCGCGGATAGCGCGGCCCAGGCAAACTCAGAACCGAAAACCTGTTTCGGTTTCAGTATCAGTATCGAATCTATCCCTCACTTAAGTCCCCAAAGCCGAAAAGTAGGGTGGCTGGCTTTACATCCACAACCCCGATCCCACTTCCATCTCCCCATTTCCGTAACGGGACGAGAAAAATCCGGAGCGAAGGAAGCTGGCAGTTGTGGCCGAGTGGCCGAGGAAGGGTAGGGAAAGAGGAAGGGACAGGGAGGTAGACAGGTACGAATGTATGAACGAGGCAGACGAGGGGAGGAGGGTAGCGGTAGCAGTAGCAGCAGCTGCAGCAGCAGCAGTAGTATACTGACCTCACCGACACTTCTGAAGGGATGTACAATCCATTATGGGGGATGAGATGCATACTTTGAAGGAGGAACAGATTGAAGACTTATGGAATAGAGTGAGGGAGTGCAACTTGTGCGGGAAAGACGCGGAAGGTGTATACGGCTAGAGTAGCAATGAATTTCAATTGACTTGAGTGAAGAGAAAATTTACGCTAGGGGGGTGAACGGCCAGGCTTATATAGCCACTGGGACGGATTTTGCTTGATATAGGTGCGCTTGCTCGACTTTGTTGAAATTTGACTTGGTGGGTTCCGAAAATGTCCTCGGACCTTCAGAGGCTGCACGACGTACACACGATCAACGACTGCAAACTGGAACAGAGACCGGTAAAAAGTGGAGCGTGTATCTTCTGTTTGCTTTCTAAGATCAGAAGTGGTCTATTTTATCGCAATTTCTCTATCAGCCGTCGTGAATCATTGCGTCATTGATTCCCAAGCCTCCCCCGAAAAGGATGGCCCAGATATGTTCATGTATTCAGAGCTTGGCAAGCACAGCCGCAGCGCTGGAGACCGAGACATCACTGCCAGGCTCCTTCTCCGCATAGGTGATCTTGCCATTCTCAATGATCAGCGCATATCGAGCTGTACGCTCGCCCAAAGTCCAACCCAGCTTCTTCGAGAACTCGGCGTTGGTATCGGAGAGGAAGAGCTGTTTACAGAAACAGGTCAGTCGATATATATAGCAGCGGAGGGGAGGGGAGGGGAGGGCACATACAATATCATCCCCCTTAATCCCGTTCGCCTTGCCCCACGCACTCATGACCCAAGCATCGTTGAACGCAATGGTAGCCACGACGTCAACGCCCTTGCCCTTCAGCGCCGACAAATTCTCAATGTAGCCGGGGAGGTGCCTTGCAGAGCACCCAGGCGTAAAGGCGCCGGGGACGGAGAAGAGGACGACTTTCTTGTTGGCCCACTCTGTTGTTTTTGTTTTCTGGTCAGCTCTTTGTTCGCGGGCGGCAAAGGAGATTAAGCTTGAGGGAGAGTATGTGAAGGGCAGCAAACCTTTGCTAGCATCGTAGGTCGTCGGCATACCACAGCTAGTAATGTCTGCGTTCTCGGGGGTATAGGGGATATAGCTGAACTTGACGTCTGTAGGGAGGGAATCGCCGAGCTTGAGTTCTGCCATATCGATGGTGGTTACAGAATCTTCGATTCAGGAGGATTTGATGGTAGGTTCGAGATAGAGGTGAGCGAAATAAGAGATGTGAGAAATGTAAAGTTGGTATACTTAAGTGGTGTCGATCTGTAGTGCCATGTCGTCGATTCATCAATGAGCGGTGGACCCCTGAATTGCCAAGTCCCACGCTAATGGCGGGGTCTCCCGAGCTGAGCTGTCCCGGATTATAGTAGGCCCGGAGCCTGGATCTAGAGTCCTTGGCCAGATATACGCGGAGTCCAGTATATCAAAAATATATGAGTACATGATAATTGATCTATAGGACTACCTCCACGAATCGAATCCTGGATCCACCTCCCATCCATAATGCGAGAAGAGATTCATATAAACACCGCCGCGATCTTAGAGGAGCATTGGTGAATAGATCACGAGAGACCAAGCACAGCAAGCACGCCGTCGCCGTCTGGCCACCTGTGTCACGTTGCTGGGTATACATAAAGACATACTACTTGCACCTGTGATACATGCTTCAAAATTTACCGAGAGGAAGGATGCTGGCTGGATCAGCCAGGAGGTAGCAACGGCAGTGTTGAAGACATACATGTATATGCATATCCGGGCCGTCCGCACGAATCTCGATGTAGGATGATGTATTTTATATGTATGTTGTGCTGCCGTTAAGCCATGCGTTTACCAGGTGACGAGCCAGTGGATCATAGCCCTCATGCCCCGGGCTTGTCTGGGTCTGTTGTCTCCGATCTGAGGGCTTCGAGAAGGGAAACGTCACGGCTGGAGGTGCACATATAATCTCGATCGGTCTGGTATCATTGCTGTGGTGTAAGATTGGGCTTGAGCTGGTGTTCAGGGCATCCATATGGTATGGCGAGGAGAAGAGCTGATTGGCAGTATTCACCTCTCCGGTTCGGCATCTGGATATGATCGGCGGGTTGTGCTACCAGCGATGCATCGAATAGACGGAGAGACGGCGTAAACAGCAATTGGACCGCCCTGCCCTACCGCAATCCAAGCAGGCAGGCAAGCAGCCTTGAAGAGTGGCTGGCTGGCTGGCGTGTCTGGTAGAGAGCGTTCGTCCCAGACAGTCGGGACGCATCACGCAGGATGAGCAAGGTGCCTCGTTGCTGTACAATGCCTGCTCGACTGCTCGGAATAAACCACGTTCTCTAGCCACATCCTAGGCCCTGAGAGATATAGAGAACCAATATCCCCACACCAGAACCGCGGCCCGAATCCATGAGCTAGGACATGGGTCTCAAGGAGGGACTAGATCATGAACACGGATCGGCCCTGGCATCCGTTATCAGGCCTCACTGGCACCTGAAAGCTCCGCGGAGGCGTCACAGACGGCGAACTCGAGAAAGCGATATATATTGCCTCTGAGACATCCGTAACATAGCGACTTTATCTTCAAATGGCAACGGTCTGCATGTAGTTGCCTCGTCAGGTGTTCTAGCTCCCGTGTAGGACAGACTCCGAGTCAGTGCCTCCCGCCCGAGACCCCAGAGCCACGCCGGAGAAGATGATCTGGAAGGACGTCTGGTATGATCGAAGCGGCTCCGTGTAGAAGAGGGCGATGGCCCTGAAACCTCGCCTTCTGGTAGATTCGGAGTGGGGAGGAAGTGGTGCGTGTTTGCTTCGGGCGGCCTGGGGCGTTGGTGCATCGTCGCTAATGTCTTCGGCCTTCTCGAGGAAGCTCGGTCCATCGTCCGCGAAATAGGAGGGCCCATCTATCCATTCCCAGCTGCTGGCGAGGTATGCGGCGGAGGCCTTGCGGTATCCATGGCACGAGAATAGAGAGATCTGCCGTTACATTGCCCTGACAGCAACTGTCGTGGGCCTTTAGGCGCAGAGCAGTAGTACAAGATCTCATATTCAGCAACACAAACGTGTGTGGAGTATGGTCTCATGCAGAACCCTAGAGGATCGTGGTTGTCATTTAAGGGAATATGTTGTGCTGAACGCCTCCACCGGCTATAACATGTTAGGTTGCCGGTCGTGTACGTACGATGTGAAAAAGCAGAAGGCACGCAACGAAGCCACTCTGCTGACCGTATCGCAAGTTTTGGAGAATGCGACTTAATATCAGGAAGTCAGGCAGCTATCGGAGTCCTTTTTCCGAAGGCCGCTTTAACGCCCCACGCTGTATATCAATTGAGGTTGTTTATTTTGAAAAGTGAACTCGAGGACTAGCGTCGTCTAGCCGAGCCCCACAACAACACACATTTTAAACACTTCGATCTCGACTTTGAAGTTCCGGTCGTAATCAAACAACAACAACAAGAACAGAAACAAGAACAGCAACACAAATCGATCTCTCCATTGTCAAGATGCAATTCTACAATGATATCATCAAGGCCTTCAGCCCCGATGTCAAGGAACCGGATGACGAGGATGAACTAGAGATTGAGATGCAAACCTATCCAGGCCCCGATGCTAATACTGCCGGTCAACAAGACGGTGAATTGGTGGATGGCACGGATGAAGGAGAGCCCGATGTAAGAATGTCCTGGTTTGAGATGATGATCCGCATTCTGCTCTTCAGGAGTTCGGGATACAGCCCTTCCGCAGCTGCTTTGGTGGACTTCCAGCAAGAGATGGGAAGACGATCGAAGCTCAAGCAGAAGAAGAAGTGTAGGGGCAGACCGACCTACAAGTTCATTTCAGTTTCTTCCGACGAAGTCCCATCCGATATCACCTATGATCGCATGATGAAGGGCGCGACATACCCAGTAAGTATTCCGACGCGTGTTGTCTTCCGCGAGGACGGGTGATTGCTGACTTTCAAAGCCTCTGAACAGGAACTCTTTCGTCACTTTCTTGAAGAACATCGACTACAACTACAATAACTTCCGCTTCATTGTCCTATTGCAGCATTATGAGCGCTTGCATGACGCAGTTAGCTGGGAGCACCGAACAGCCCTAAGTCCACCATGGACTTTTCTGGACGAGCAGCGAGCTAGGAAGGCCTACGAGACAAGTCGTTCAAGAAGAAGATCTATCAAGATTTCCTGTGGCCTGCCATTCAGAAATGGAGACTACACTCCGTTAGATTCTTCGGATTCTCTCCTTGGCGAGAATCAGCCGACCACCAGCTTTAACATATACAATCCAACCCCCCTCACCTCCTTGAGGCCAGCATACCTTGGTCTCCGGAATGTTATCGGACTCAGTCTACCTGGTTCCGCTGGTTCCGATATTGACTCTGTTGCCCCATTTTCTTTTGGCACGAGGGACAATGGCTCCTCGGTTTCAAGCCGAGGTTATGATCGCGTATCATACGAGGACGATGAGCATTTATTCGGCCCCCGGCTTCCAAGTAAGATTCTCTCCAACCCCTTTTCGCTCAGCGCATTCTAACATCAGCAAGTCGCGGTCCAGAACCTTTGGAAGACGGGGAGCCAGATCATGACGGAGTTCATCGCCACCAACGGCGAGCACGCTCTCAATCTTTCACACTTGGATCGAGAGATGACCCTGTACGCTCTCGAGCGTAGCAACCACCCATCAGCGATGAACCGCGCCCAAAAGGTTGCTGACGATGTGCTGAGGAACGACAGCTACCCGAGGTTCCTTCAAGTCTCGAAGCCCGATGGCAGTCCGATCCGCCAACGGATCATCAAGCTGGTGGGGTGGCTCCTCATCTCCACCGGCCTCATCTTCGCGGGCGCGGTCACGATGTCTCACCTCTCCTGGCTGTACCGCCTCATTGGAGTCCCCCTCGTCGTCTGCGGCGTCGCCGCCGTGTACGCTGCCCACCTCGGCCTCTGTCTCGTGCTGTACAGTCTCGGCACCTACCAAGCCGAGCCCTGGGACCTGTACACCCCCGCGGACGAGCAGGAGCGAGAACGTATAAACCCGGAAGTCTTCCTCGACGGCGACTACAAGCCCGGGAAGCGCGGCTGGGTCAAGACGTACAACCGTCGGTACGCCCTCCTCAAGATCTTCGGCCGAGACACCCCCGTCAAGGAGGCGCGCATCTTGAACGCGCAGACGGTCATCGCTGGCCAGGCCATCTTCCTGGGTCTGCTCGCCGGTGCCATCATGGTCGTGCTCGCCAAGGTGGTTCCGACTGTAAAGTACTACTGATCGCAAACTCCTTCCTTCCTTCTGAGGAGGAGGAGTGGACCTTTTCTTCCGTCCGTGGTCAATGCGTCCAGCTGCCTTTCTCTCCCTCGCGCCTCACCTCCTCGTCTGGTCTGGTTGGTGGTGTACTCTTCTGTTTGGGTCTCGGTCTCGGTCTCGATTTCGGTCTCGGTTTAGATTTCGGTCTCAATGCGATCCTCCCTCCATACGATTCCTTCTGCGACGGGCGTCCTCTGGCTTCTGTTCTTCCGGATGCATACGTACATACTTCTGCCATCAGCATCAGTGCGGGCTCCTCTCCTCTTCTTTCCTCTCCCTCTTCTCTCGTCTGGCTTCGGTAGGAACATAAAAAACACAAAGGGGCGTTTACGGTTCGACGACGGATCCACGGATCGACTTTGACTTACTGGATATCACACACTGGGCGGCGGACCTCTTTGCAATTCTGTACACTAGGGCGTTTTTGTTCTCTTCTCCTCTTCGGATGACTCGGATGAAGTGACTCGGTGGGCTGAGTCGGTGTGGGTTGGGTCGTTTGCGGTTGCGGTCTTGTTGTTTTTCTTCGCGAATTTGCAGTCATGGCCAAAGAAAGGGTAGATGGCACGATGACAACGATGATGAAAATGGACTTTTACTTTCCCCAGAGATCCACCGCGTGAGAATGTGAGAGTGCGCGGGCGCCGTCGTAATTGGAATTGGAATCCCGTGTCGACGTGACTGGTAAGTCGTCAGAGTCGATTCGTCGTGATAAGTTCTTTTTTTCCTTTCCGAATTAGGATCTGGAGTTTGGGGCCTTGTGGTTGGTGGTTGGTGGTGCTGGTGGTGGTGGTCGTCGTCGTCTCCTAAAAAAAAAAATTCCAAAAAAAATCCATCTCGACGCGACGCGATGCGGTACGGTACTATACCATCTCCATCTCCATCCTCACCCAACCCCAACCCCGAGTATGATCTAGATCTTGGAAATCCGTTCATTCATATATATATATATATATATATATATATATGTAAGTTAACAAGTACTCAATACAACACCGCGGACGAGGTCCCACCCCGCTCTCACTCTTTCCCTTCTGGGCAGTACCTCCCTGCAGCAGCTTTTGCAGCAGGGCTCTAACCTAACCAACCAACCAGCCAACAGAATATCCCAGCGGTGACAGCTAGCTAATAATACCTATACCTATACCTATACCTATACATATATATAGGTAGGTAGGTAGATACCTAATGATTGCGACGGCATACCCGGTGAGAGTTTGTCTTTGGTATTTGTCTTTGGTGTCTTGTGTATGGTAATCTGTGTGCTGTTTATGCATTTGCTATTTGTATGCCTCAACTCACTCACACACTCTCTACCTCTCTCCCTCTCTCATTGCATGCATGCTTGCCAACTTACCCCCGCAAAAAAAACCCCCCGTTCATTCGCTACCTACTGTAGACACTGCACGCGCCAAAGGGAAACGAAGTCCATGATCACTTGACAGAAATTTGATTGATTGATTGATTGATTGATTGATTGATTGATTGATTGATGGAATCACGTCGTAGATGATAGCATAGAATAGCAGACACACATTTAGAATCCATCCCAGCATCAGACGATACCGTATGAATCCACGTTCCCTGGCGCAACTCATCACATCCCGAGTCACGAGAGCAATCTAGCAATTGTAAAACCCTTGTCATTCATTTTTTTCATTCATTTATATTTTCATTCATTCATTCATTCATCAATTCATTCTTGCCATACCCTAGTATCCCTCTTCCTCCCGGATCAGTGGTTCCCGCTCCGTGCCCTTATACCCATCATCATCCACTATTCCATTCCGCTGAACAAATCCTACCAAGATAGAGCCAACAAGCAGCCCCAAAACGGCAAGCACGATGTTAACGGGTGTCGGGTCGCCGTGGAAGCGTTCTAGCGTCAGAGTGTCGATGCCGACTTGGGAGAGGTTTACGAGGCCGGATAGGCAAATTATCATACCATAGACCTGTCCGAACGTGCCGAAACCAAAGACCTTCGTTGCATAGTCACTAGATGGCTCGGTTAATGTGGATTCTTTGGCTTGGACTGATGCGAAAGTGCCCAGGGTGACTTACGACATTGCAGAGTAGTAAAGTGGCCGCAGAACCACAAAGAGCAGGACCGTGACATAGGCCGCCCAGAGATAGGGGAGGGAATTGGCGGCGCCGATAACGGTGCTCAGCAGTACTATGATCGAGAGAGCAGTGGGGACGCTGAGGTTATCCAGGAAAAGACCGATCAGGGGCGTGCAGATTACGCCGCCCAAAGGAAGGGCGATGTCGAATAGATGGTTAATCCGGGCCCCCAGGGCTTCGGAATCTGACCGAAATTTAGTTAGCGATTTCAAAGCCGTCAGAGTTCCGCCGAAATGCAGAGCGGAGCGACTTACCAAGCATATACTGATACTGCGATCGGATTGTGGCGATGAAATAATTCATCCGTAGCATTTGCAGGACAGTGAGCAGCGTGATCAGAACAAACCACGGGGTAAGCATCTGCCGATGTGCCGGTAAACCATGGAGCGCGCCCCAGACAGCACTTCGTTTCAGTCGCTCCTGCTCTCGTTCTGCCCGCTCATCCCGTTCCGATTGATCGCCGAAAAGCTTGTTGAGCTTGCGGATCTTGGTTTTACGGCGCCCTGGATAAAGTCAGAGTCCAATTCAAGTCAAGAACCCAATGTTCCCAGGGGGAGGGTCTGGCCATATTCGAATGTACTCACCAGAACGTTCGCTGCGGATCCGGTCAATTTCATTCTCGCTTGAGATCTCGTCGTCGGAGGAGTGAATGTCTCTGCTGTAGTCCTTGGCTCGTTGCATCTTCTTCTCAAGTACCGGCACTGTGTCGTAAACTCGACCCGGCAGGATCAGAATCTGGGAGAATAATATAAAGACCGGGACGATGGTGTAGTAGAGGAAGAACCGGTCCGGAGTGAACCTGCGCCCGGTATGCTCATAGACCATCCGGTAGAATAGAAACACAGCCGCTGAGGCGTCAAAACTCCCCGTGACCAAAGCTACGATGGTTCCTGAGTACTTGGGGAAAGCGTTGGCTATCTGAAACGACGGGACGAAAACAAATGTGCCGCCGAGGGCCAGAAAGAAGTTCCCAATCAGGTAGCCGTCGAATCCCGGTATGGCAAAGGCGTAGGACATCAGGACCGTACCTGTCGCCATGAAGATACTGGCGAGGATCCCGCAGACTCGAGGCCCATACCTATCGAGGATTGCTCCGACTGGCAGGGCCGAGACATTGCTCGCTATCGATGCCAGGGTGAAGAAGAAATTGAGCCTTTTGAAAGAGTCAGCATTTGTTTTGCTGGCACGAGGTTTGGGTTTAGACTCAGGAATGAAATTAAGCTCGGGCTTTGGGGTCTATTACCCACCTGATATCCTGATCTACACACACTTCGACCCCATCTTCCAGCTCTTCCTGAGTGCATAGCTCGTGGTAAACGCCTTCGGCTACCAGAACCGGCTTCAGAGCCGCGAAGCCAAACACAACCCCCGACGCCAGCCAACAGACAAGTACAGTTATGAGCACTTGAAAGGCTCTCGTGGCCGTGGAAACTTTGTAAGCGGCAGTGTGCTGCTGAGCTGGGTCGGGGATGGTTGAGGGCGGAAATGCATCGAAGCTCAGCACTTTCCGCACCACATGGCGTTGGCTCGGTTCGACGGCGGTCAGCTGATCGAAATCCTGGCGGTCGATTCCTTCAGTTGCAGACACGTGCTGGGCGAGAGACATGGGCGGGCAAGGGCGATATTTGGTAGGGAGGATAAGGAGGAGGAGGAGGACAAAGGCAGGATCATATAGTAGACTGATTCAATGCGAATGCTATATGTACCTCACGCACGGGACTTTGGGCTCTGGGAACTGCGAGGACCAACAACGAAAGGCCAATGAAAAAGTCACGTAAAGTAGAGTTCGACTCGACGATACTACTAGATACTTCTAGATGGTCAAGGCAAGGCAAGGCAAGTGGCGGGTGGCGATACGAGATATGATATCGATAAGATAAGATATGCAGGAAGCCGGGCCCTCTGACCCAAAGTTGAACTTGGTCTGTAAGATATTTACAAGCCCGCGCCGAGTCAGATCCGAGATAATGTCGCGAGATGACATTGATTCGTGTTGGTTCATGATCACAACCATGAATCCAACATCGGGGGAAACACACGGATCCAAATACCGGCGAGATGGGCCAGTCACCAGCAGTCACCAGCAGTCACCAGCAGTCACCAGCATTCACCTGCAGCCACCTGGATGCCGGCCAGCCACCGGAATATCTCGTGGGATCGGGTCTCGATTCTTGGTGTTGATATCAATGGCTGGCGCTTTAGGTTTGAGGTAAGAAGTACGTTATGGTTATGCTATGGCTCACCGCTTTCATTCTGCCCTCCCCCTCCGCATCGGGGTGCGGCGGTGAGCAGCCAGATCCACTACCGGTACTGTACTACCGGTACTACTGTACAGTACTACTAATATATGTGGGCCCTCTGACTCGGGTACGGAAGTACCTTTCAGCGACCCTAGTCAGTTCAATGCAGTCCTGAGTTTCTAGAGCGTCATCCTCTCATCCTTCGCTCCGCCTTGCACATCAACACTAGTAACAACCCAAAGTCAATACGCACATAATATCAAATTCCTTCACCTGCATTCAATTCCACTCCATGTTGACGTTGATGTTGTGGCAGGGATATTAATCGATATCATCTCAATCCCATCTCCGCAATGTCGAGCTCGCTCCATTCCAGAGACGACGGCGGCGAGAACGAGAGGATGACTACGGAGGAAGAGGCGGCTATAGTATCCAGGCATCTCGACCCCGCCTATCATGCCCATTTCGACGATGAGCCCGCGAACGGCAATGGGCCCGAACAAGAGAGCTCTTTAAAGCTGCTGGGTGGAGACATGCATCGCGATCTGTACAGGATCACGGCGAGGGCGAGACACGGGTCTGTGGCGAGATCCCAGACTTTCTCCCACCCAGAACCGAGGGTGAGCAGCACCGATGGAGCCGTGGAGGAGCAGAGACAACCCCAGGGCTTTAGACGGCATTATGTCCAACAGCAGCTATTGAGGCGGTCAAACAGCTTCACGGCTCCCATCACGAACAATTTCATTGCCTTCCTCGACCTGTATGGCAACTTCGCGGGAGAGGACCTGGCAGAATCCGACGACGACGACGAGAATGCCATTGAGGACGATGAGGAGGAAACAACACCAAACGCGGCCGGACATGAGGAAGGGGAGAGAAGACCGCTGCTGGGCAGACGACGGACAACAAGGGGAACAAAGCCAGGAGATGCAAATCTGATGAGGACGTTCCTCTTGTTGATCAAATCTTTTATTGGTACCGGAGTACTGTTCCTGCCAAAAGCCTTCAAGAATGGTGGGTTGTTGTTCTCCTCAGTTACACTGGTTATTATATCTCTGGTATCGTGTATGGCCTTCCACTTATTGCTGAAGTGCCGGGCCAAATACGGAGGAGGATATGGTGAAATCGCAGAGCGAGTGGGAGGAAAGAGAATGCGGTCCATCACCCTGGCCTCGATTGCGCTGTCTCAACTTGGATTCGTGTGTGCTGGTATCATCTTCACGGCAGAGAATCTCTCTTCCTTCCTCGAAGCCGTCGTCAAAGGCGCCTCCCCCCTCGGCATCAAAGCCCTCATTGGTCTCCAGCTCTTGATCCTAGTCCCATTGGCATTCATCCGCAACATCTCCAAGCTTGGAGGGGCGGCTCTCCTAGCAGATGTCTTTATCCTCCTCGGACTCGGATACATCTACTACTTTGATATCTCCACCCTCGCCGCCCACGGCATTAACCCCACGCTCCGCATGTTCAACCCGAGTGACTTCACCCTCACGGTCGGCTCCGCAATTTTCACCTTCGAAGGCATCGGCCTGATTCTCCCCATCCAGTCCTCCATGAAAGAACCGCAGAAGTTCGAGCGCCTTCTCTACACCGTCATGCTCATCATCACAATCATCTTCGCCTCCATCGGTGCTCTTTCTTACATGACATTTGGGGACGCCACATCGGTCGAAATCATCTCCAATTTTCCGCAGGACTCCAAGCTCGTCAACGCCGTGCAATTCCTCTACTCCCTCGCCATTCTCGCCGGGGACCCAGTGCAACTCTTCCCAGCGATGCGTATCCTGGAAGGCTCGATCTTCGGTCATCGCTCAGGCAAGCAGAACGCGAGGACGAAGTGGAAGAAAAATGCATTTAGGACGGCACTGGTCTGTGCGTGTGGGCTGGTTAGTATCCTGGGTGCCACGAACCTAGATAAGTTTGTGGCGCTCATTGGCAGCTTTGCGTGTGTGCCATTGGTGTACATCTACCCCGCTTTCCTACATTGGAAGGGCATCGCGGAGGGCAAGTGGGCGAAGATTGGGGATATAGTGTTTATGGGCGTCGGATTGGTGGCGATGGTGTATACTACTGCTGTTACGATTAGTCGGTGGTCGTCGAGCTGATCAGGTGCTCTGGGGCGGGCGGGCTTGTATGTGTGTATATCTACGAAAGAGGAACACGGGAGCACAGGAGTACAGGAAAAAGGGCGACGACGGAAAGTGAATGGGACGGCTATGTACTGTAGAAACGCATTGATACCCGAGGTTACGGGATACGACGACACGTTAGCGTAGGAAGCGATTGAATGGAGCGATTCTTATGAGTACGGTAGAAAAGGGCCTAGTTCATTGAACATTCCAAAAACGGAGCATGTCATGCATAGCCTATGTACATCAGTGATGCTACATCAAGACAAGCAGCAGTACGACTTAACCCCCGCTAGCGAACTCTACAAACACAGCATAAATACCGGTAAACACATAGCATAAACCCACCAACCGATCCTAAGCACAACCCCAGAAGATGTCTGCTTTGCCAATGATGTCCCGATGGCGGATATATATACATAGGTACATAAGGTACACAGCCATCCATCAACCATTCGCGAGCCCATCCGTTGCCTCCCTCCCTTCCAAAAAAATCAATCAATCAATCAATCAATAAAAATCTAAAAATTCAAAAATCTAAATATTCAAAAATCTAAAAATTCAAAAATTTTAAGAATTTTAAGAATTGAAAAAATTGAAAAAATTGAAAAAAATGAAAAAAATAAAAAAGTAAAAAAGTAAAAAAATAGAAAAAAATAAAAAAATTAGAAAAAATTGAAAAAATTGAAAGAATTGAAAAAATTGAAAAAATTGAAAAAATTGAAAAAATTGAAAAAATTGAAGGAAAAAAAAAAATTGAAATTGAAATTGAAATTTTTTTAAACATTTGCTCTACAAAACCCCCCAACACACCCTCCCGACACTTATTCCGAGTCCCTATCTCCGCCTGGTAGCGGGTGTAGCTGGTCAAGCGGGTCAAGCTAGTCTACGGTAGTCCAGTCTGGTACGTCAGCCGCTTCTTTCTGATGTCGAGGTCTGCGTGTCTTTTTTTCGCTTTTCGTTGCTGTTGAAAGGGGAAAGGGGGGGGGGAAAGGGGAAAGGGGGATCTGGATTGGGAAGGGAGAAGGGAAAGAGGGGAGGAGAAATCACGTATGTAGTCTAGAGCCTTGCTGATTATATGTATGCTTTTGGGAGGTTATTATCTCGCGCTTTTTTTTTTTCTTTTTTTCAATACGAACTACAATACCGTAGTCTCCCATTAACTTGTAACGTAAGCGGTGCAGGTACAGATAGGGAAGGAAGAGAGAGAGGAGAGAGAGAAAAAGAAAAAGAAAAAAAAAGAGGCAACCATTCCCATTTCCCAACCGCAAAGAAAAAAAACCCAAACAGGTTCAAATCACCAAAAGCTTCAGAGAAACGGTTTTCAGGCAGGAGCAAGAGTAGGAACAGGCGCCCCGGCAACGACGCCCTCCTCATCCAAGCGCGCCCCGCGCGTAGAGTACTCCTCTATCCGCGCCACCTCCTCGGCGCGCACCTCCCTGCCCACGAGCTCGTTCCGGGCCAGCTGCCGGAGCAAGATGGCGCGCTCGACGGGGCTCGCGTCGTCGTCGGTGATGAGGCGGAAGGAGCGCGAGAGCGGGTTCTTCTGGCCGATGCGGTGGACCCGTGCGTACGCCTGCAGCTCACGCACGAAGTCGTAGTCGGGCTCCATCAGCACGACGTGGCAGGCCTTCTGCAGCTGCAGGCCCACGCCGACGACTTGCGTCAGGCCGACGAGGATCTGCACGCTGCGTGAAGGCTTCGCGGTACCCCGCGATTTGCTGTTCGCATCCGTGAAGGCGCGGAGGATCTCGCTCTTCTCGCTACCTTTCATGCGCCCGGCCAGGACGCCCACGAGGTCTTTGTATTCCGGGAAGTACTTGGCGATGAACTACGGGAGGCGCGGTTAGCAGCGTGGACTGAAGAGAGGGGTTGAGAGATTGAAGAAGGTCTTTTGGCTTTGCTTAGCTGGGAAGGGACTTACTAGCTTCAGGATGTAGGCCACCTGCGGAAAGCTGGTCATGATGACCAGTTTGTGCGGGTTGTTGTTGACGTCGACCTGCTGGCTCAATTTCGTCATGAAGTCGTACAGCCACAGACACTTCGGGCTCCCTTCCACAATCTGCTTGATGTACTTGCGATACGGGTTCGATTCCTTCCTCGCCTGGAAGGCTTGCAGCTCCTTAACGCTGAGATCCAGGCGGTCTTCCGTCCCCGTCATCAGCTTATACAGATACGGGAACGTAGCCAGGATCCGCGAGCGCCACAGCGTTCGGGTCTCGGTGTTAAAGGCCAGCCTGGTTGGCTTGATGTTCGACCTCCGCAGATCGGGGAACCCTTCCCATCGCGCCTGCAGCGATTCGAGGAGCTCGGCCCGCTCATGGTCGAAGCTCATTTCGAGCGATGGGATCAAATGCGTGAAGGTCTCGTTAGGTCCGAGGCGGACGTCGGCGTGGATATGCGGTGGGAGCTTCATAATGGTATGGCCGAACCACCTCGTCTCGGCCGTCCGTCTCAGCATCAGCCTTTCGAGAAACGGCTTGAAATCGGCGAGGATCTGGGCCACGGCGGCGTCGTCTCGCGTGTGGCTTTTCAGCTGGTGGTCGTAGGCCTTGCAGATCTCGTCGAGCTTCTTCCACTCGAACGCGGGATTGACAGTCTTGGAATGCTTTTCGATCGCCCAGAGGACACCTTCGATCCCGCGCGGTGTCTGCGAGATTGGAGTGCCAGAGTATCCCCAGACGAAGGGGCGAACAGCGTTGTTCTGCCTCGGCAGGTTCGCCAATATGCCTGCTCGTCCTTTGTTCTTGAAGTACTCTTCGTGCGACTCGTCGATCATAGCGATTCCAAAGATCAAGCTGCAGCGTGTCCCGGTCTTCCATCCGCTAGAAAACGATCAGCTGAGACACCATCTACTTCAACAATCAAAAATACATACCCTTCTACTTTCGGGTCGTGCACAAACCCTGGGCTCTCAAAGTAAGCCTTCATCGACTTCGGATAGTTCTCCTTGGTCGTCAAGAACAAGATCCCCTCCTGGTGCTCTTTGCTCACGTCGTTCTTCTTCGCGTTTTTGATAGCCTTGGTAGCTTCCATCCGACCGCGAGCCTGGGACTGCTCGCAGCTATTCACCCGGTCCTCAGCCAGCGTCTTGAAGTCGTTGCAGAGCGCCGGATGATCAACCACAATCTTCATCCCGAGCACGTTGTCGCTGGTATCAACGTGCGTCTTCCACTGCGCCCACCACTGGCCGACGAGCGCTTGCGGCACGCAAGCCATCCTGAGTCCCACCTTCAGGTTCAGCTTCGAGGTCGGGCTGCTGGAGGAGCAGGGACAGGTGATCCAGCCCCGTTTAGGCGACGTTGGGCAGGATCCTGACTCCCCTGATAATAGGTGCCTTCCGTCTTTGGCGACTCGGGATTTCAAGACGTCGCGCCAGAGGACGGCAAGTTGGCGCTCGACGACGACATAAGCGAGGAACGACATCGTCTTGCCAAGCCCCATGTCATCGGCAACGAAGCCACCGCCGACATCTCGCGAAGTGACCATCTGCCAGTACACACCAAATGCCTGATACTGGTACAGTGGAGTCTTGAGCCCGACGATCCTGACCACCTCACCCATTTTCGTCTCGCTGGGATCAATGCGGAACATGGCACAGCATTCTGTCCAACGAGTCAAAGTACCGGCTGTGTCCTTCGGATCTCGAAGCTGGCCCAGCTCCCCGATATTCTGAAGTTCCTGTAGCCTCGAAGTACGTTAGCGAGATCCCAGCTGACTTATCTCACCTGACCCGGGGCATGGAGAAACTTACCTCGTGACAATACGATCCTCATTCGAAATGTCATCGTCTTCATCGTCTTCATCTTCTGTCTTCTCGGGCTCAGCCTCAGCTTCCCCTTCAACGACAGTATGATCCGCTTTCTCAAACTTCTGGACATCCTCAGGGGATAAGGCCCCCTCGTCACCGCCGCGCGTGTAGCTAGTCTTGCCAACTTCCGTGTACAGAGTCTTGAACCGGCGCTGCATCTCTTCCCTGGTCTCCGGCTCTTTCCTCGCCACGATGCCAACCACTTTCTTGACGGCGCTCTTGATCGATCCAGAGGATCTAGACAGTCTCCCGCTCGAGGAGTTCGTCGGTATCTTGACAACTGCTGAATTCTCTTCAGCCGCGCTCGAATCCTGCGCAGGCAACGAAGATTTTCGCGGCGGGCGGATCGTGAAGGGAGAAACGGGCGACGAGGCCACGGTATCGTTCTTCTCCAGCTCCTCGAGCCGCGCAAACTCAATGTCCTTCTCGACGTCCGTAGCAGCACCGACAGCCATGGTCCCATTCAGCTTCTCCGGCTTATACGACCCCTCTGCACTGCCCAAGCCAGCAACAGGTAGACTGCTGCTCCTCACTGTCGTGCTGCCCGCAAGTAGGGCCTTGCCTGGCAAGGTTGGCAGCTTGAAATACTCAGCTGCGGGTCCCGTCGCAGCAGCTCTGCCCGACGAGATACCTGGAAGTTTGAAGCCAGCTTGCACCGCTCCTGTCGCGAGCCTCTCTTCTCTCTGCGCCGGGTACTCGGGCTGGTACATGAACGACATCTCTTCGCTGGCGCCGCGGTGGATGTACATGTGATTGACGGCGACCTCAAAGCTTTCCTGGTCCCACACCTTCTCGTAATCCTTCTTCGCTGTGAAGTATCCCAGCTTCCCGTGGGAGATCTCCGTCTCGTAGCCCGGCTTCTTCATGATTTCGCCCAGCTTGCGCTCGAAGCGCGCGACGAACAGGTCGAAGCTGTAGCTGGACGGGTGCGCGGGGTCCTTCATTGGGATGAGAAATTCGTAGAGCAGGATCATGCCTGTCCCGTCGCGATCGTCGCCCATCACGTTGAGCCTGACGGCCATATTGGCGAGTCTGATGTCCACAGGAGGAGGCTGGGACGGGGTGGTGAGGGGAACCGCAGATGCTCTGCGGTTATTCTTATCCCTCTCTACCGTCCCGAGCATTTTGTCCTTGAAGAATTTCTTCATCTTGCATATATACTTCGCGCTCGGATTGTATCAATCAATCAATACCACGAGGGTTTTCCGTGCTCTGTCATAGAGATTGCGAGCCAGGAGACATTTGGGACTCGAGGGAATCCTCATATATCCACACTCCTCGAGGATAAAGACATCATATCGATCGATGCTGCACAGGACCATCATTCTTTGTCCTAAGTGGCCTCAACATTAACAACACCTTTATATGGATGACGAAAACGGACTCGCTCGATTTTCTTCCCTCTGCCCACAAAGGAACCGGTCGGAAGGGGGGCAAGTGGGTAACAACTCCAAAGAAGAGCAATTTGGAACTCAAACGCGGTAAGTCTTCTGGCTTCGCCGGATTAGAAGAGGGAAGAAGGTCGATAAAGAAATCCGGGTCCGGATGTAAACAGACTGAGGCAATTCGCGCGGCACTGCTCAACTACATCAAGCAAGCCAGAAATCGAAACAAAGAGTCTTTTTTTTTGTCCTCGGCGAACTTGGATGCAGAAGCCGGTTCCCAGGCCAAAAAAATGATAGACGTAAAAAAACAATTTCTAGACGTAGAGATAACCGTGATGGGCTGTTCAATAGTTCAACCAACTCCCTCGCTAAACTCCTGGGGCATTTTTTATCTTCGCACTGGGTGGTTCCGATCACATTCTGTGTTATATATTTTTGACTTCTATTGACTTATACGTAGAATTGCACTCGTCATCTACGCCTTATCAGCTCACATGAAAATGAAAAGAAAAAGAAAGAGGAAAAAATCTCGCATTCCTGGCGCTGAGGAGTGAAATCCACACATACCATCAGAGGTTCGGTTCGTCCAAACATAAATCCCCAATGGCCTCGGCTTCCCCTCACCCTGATAATCATCATCCATCATATTCAAAACCCACCGTATTTTAAGCCCATGCAATTAGCATAATAACCAACGGTACTCGACCAGTCCGAGAAGATGGCCTTGATGCCCACATCCCTCGCAAGCACATCGAGAATCTCGTAGTACTGGCCATCGAAATGCACCGCGCCCCCGATGGAGCCGAAGTAGTACTCGCCGCGGCTCCCCACGGTCGCTAACGGACCGGACCGCTCGTACGTCCACGCGATGACATCGAGGCCCACCGCCTTGGCTGTGGTCGCGTAGGTGGAGGGGACGATAGTCTGGTTGCCCTCGCCGGTGGTTGTGAGCAGGTATGCGAAAGGCGGCGCGACGATGTTGACACCCTTTTCTTTCAAGCTCGAGAGGCGCGCCACGTCCGCGGCGTACTTGGCGGGCGTGTCGCCATCCCTGTCGAGAAAGATGGCCTGCTTGCCGAATTCCGGGTACTCGGTGATCCATTGGTAGATGTCGGGCGGGTGGAATGATTGCGCCCAGACGCGCTCGGGAGCAATGCCGCGCTCGAGGAAGGCGTTTAGCATGTCGCGCGCGTACTGCTCCTGTGTGTAGCCGTTGAACGGCATCGGGACTTGTACTGGCGGGGTCTTGAGCTCTGGGGTGAATTTGCGTTTGCCGGGGATCGACTCGACCAACGTGATGTAGGAATCAAGGGTCATGACGGTACCACAGGTGTCGTAAAGTTCAGTCCGCCAGTTGGGCGTGCCGGACTGATAGTCGTGGACGTTCGTTGCACTGGCATTGAAGCCGTCCTGCTTGCCACAGAGGGAGATGAACTCGGCGGTTGCAATGTCTGATGTGCAGCACAGCGCATTGGCGGGAGATGTTGCATTCGCAGGTGTGAAGGGAACGGTGCATTTGGCGGCCAACTCTGGGTATAGCAGAATGTTGGTCGTTGTATGCAGATCACAGAAGGAGTGTCGGCAGACGAGTCCACGGTCGGCAGTAAAGGAGACATCGCATTCAAGAATGCCCGCGCCCATTCTGGCACCAGCCATGGTAGACTCGACCGTCTCCTCCGGGAATTGAAGAGTCCCGCCTCCACGATGGCCAATGGAGAAGTCGGTGATGCTCCAGGGACCGTTCTCGCAGGACTGGAGCTTGGCCTTCAATTCCGAGTCGGTCATGTTGTTGATTATATAGAAAGGGCGAGAGTCATAGGAGACTTGGTAGTGAGGACGACGCCACGGCTGCTCGTGGTCGAGGTCGAGACGATTGTGCTGAAGAAAAGAGGTTGGGAGAGCAGCGACAAAGTCAATGACAACCAAGGCCGCCACGGCCAGCTGGAGGCGAGAGGCAAGCATCGCACGAACACGAATATAAAGAAAAAGTCCAAACTAGAATTATAACTCCTAAATTTCATTAGGAAAACACGAGCTTTTAATAAAACCAGATAAACCAAATGATGAATCCACTCCGAATCAGCTTCCAGCTCTTGTACGTAGCTAGCTCCCCCACTCGGAGGAGCTACACATACAGCTTGATATATTCCAGGTGTAGCGACAGAGATACAATGTAGATAGGTTGATGAGAATGATTGATTTGATATGATTTGACGGATGAAAAGATGGAGGAGTTCGTTCGCAGAAGCACCCGAGATCTATTTGCCGGGTCCGTAAGTCACGTGTGGACAGGATTGGCTGCCAAGTCTACTCGAGAGAGAGAGAGAGAAAAAAAGAATGACCTGCACGTGCAAGATGGTGGAAGCAAGAACGATTTTATAAAATAAATAACCTTAATTCTATATCTATCTTAATATTAATAAGATAAAACGCTCTAGGTACTGCAGCGTGCTTGGTTGTTATTTTGCTCGGCAGCAAAAATTGCAGAAGTGAAGTTGGACATAAGGTATTGTGAGATGAGTATGTTGATTAATGATCTATTGGTATTAATAAGAGATTAAAAAATGAAAATAATGCCGGATCCCTTCTAAGCATGATAAAACAAGTATGATAGAACAAAAATAATATAAGTAACGCTGATCGCCTACTCGCTACGCATACCTCTGCCCCGACTCCTCCCTACTCCTCTCGAGTCGTCATCTCTGTGAGCCTGTCCACTTTCGTCCTGATTTGCAACTCAATCCTCTCGCTATGGAGTATTTCCTCGTCGAGTTTCTCCTGTTCCCTAAGCCTCTCGATTGGCTCCAGGCCGCCGCTTCCAAGTACCTTATTTGCTTGGCCGATACGCGCCTGGACCATCCTGAGGGTGTAGCGAAGATCTTCTAGCTTCCCAGCCTCTTCGTGATACTCGCAGACGGAGTAGCCATCATCGCATGCACATGGTCTGCTTGTCAAGCCTGTATCACCAACTGTATTTTCGTGGCTCTCTTCATCTGGATCGCTTTCATCGTTTATTTCGTTCACTTCGACACTTACCTCCCTGCGCTCTTCCTTACAGTGGTCGCAACTGAACCCGTTATAGAAATTGGCACAGCAATGTACAGCCTAAATAACGGGAAAGTCAGCAATTGAGTAATGGAAATTTTGCGAACAGAGGATCAGCTGTATCGCCGGCAATCACAAGCCGTAATGAAAAAGACGGGCTTCACCTGGGCGCCTCGGAACTGGAAACAACATGTCGCCAGAAGTTCTCAAACGTTCAGGAAAGTGAAAACCGAAAAATACGTACGCTAGGAGCAGCAATATCCTCATCCACGGACTCGATGTCGGAGAGTTCCCTCTGTCCCTGCGTATAACTCTCGTCTTCGTCCTCCTGGCCGGAATCGATTGGCTTCTTCGAGTCGTCTGAATAGTCCGAGTCCTGATCCACATGATGCTCTCCGCAAGGAACACAAGCCCATGGGCCTGAACCCTCCTCACTCGAAGCATCTACCGCTCGATACTTTGCGTACTCATCAAAATGCTTGTTGCAATAGATACAACTCTCGCAAAGGACTAGCTCTTTCGGCAGTTTCACCTCCACCGTGCACTTGTGAACAAACTCCTTCTTCATCTTGTCATGGACCACGGCGTCTGCGGCTTCTGGGTCTGGGATACTCAACCCCAACGCGCTTGCTATGATATCGAATCCTTTTTCTCCAATCAGGATCGCTGTATGGTTTGTGTTTGCTCCCACATTCTTTGGTGCAATACTCAGATCAACAACCTTCAAACCCTTCACTCTGTGTACATTCAAGTAGCTGTCAACCACCCCATGTTCTGCCAGAGGTGCCATCTTAGCTGTACCGAGGGAATGCCAGGTAGTGGTAATATTCTGCCTGATATACTCCTCGATGACAAGGTCATCTGCAGGAGTGTAGACTATATCTTGAATAACGCCTTCGAAGGGCACAAAGTTTGCGGGAATAAACGCGTTGGAGTCATCCGAAAACCGCGGGTGCGAAGGTTGGAACTCGCCTTGGAACATTTTAGTTCGCCTCATGATCTCGCGCTGCTTCTTGTACGCCCACACATGAGCTTCGAGATCAAATCGGTCCGAGAGATATCCTGTTTGAAAGGCGTACCCTTTCTTGTCGTCCGTAATGTGAATGGAGCCACGCGAATAGGGATAGGCATTGTAGCTGACGACGGTGACCAGCTCGTCTTCGGAATTCTCCTCCACTCTTGGGCAACTATACAGAAGTCAGCAACCGATATCTTGATCCCGCTCGCGTGCAACATACGCTGAGATGAAAGCAAATAACGCGAGTGGCTTGCTGTGTTGATTTTGGAAGTCCAGTTCCCAGGCACGCTGGAATTCCGTAGTCATCTGTTCAACCTCTCTATCCGTTGGTCGCACTTTTGCAGCGACATCAATCGCATTCCAGAAAGCTCTCCGATCTCCAGGCTTCACGGCCTGGGCCAGAGAAATGTGGCGTCTCAGCATATTGTTGAGCGTTTCGGATGGGCCCAGGGAGGTCTTATACAAAGAGAAGATACCGTTGTGGTCTTGGTAATCATTGCCAACACCAGGAACCTCGGCCACGACTGGCACTTGTGCTCTAGCCAGGATCTCTGGATCCCCAACGCCTGATCTCTCGAGTACCAGAGGCGTACCTAGAGCGCCGCAGGATATCACGACCAGTTTTCTTGACTTCACGATTCTCCTCTCGGGTCGTAAGGGTCCCTTTTCATAAGGCTTTGTACAAGGATGGAAATTATCGTTCTGGATGAGCTCGACTCCCGTGGCTCTCTTCGGATCGGATTTATCGTCAAAAACCACCCTGATCACACTGTGCTGAACAAGGATGTGAAGATTCTCGACCGGCTTGCCGTCCAGGAGCTTCTGCAAATAGGCATGGGCGGTATCCTGTCGTCGACCAGTTTTGTCCACGTATCGAAGCCATCGACTAACTCGGTTGCAGGATATAAGGTCTTGCAGATCTGGGGTCTCAGGGTATCCTACAGCTGCAGCCGCTTCGATGTAGTCGTTTTCCGATCTGCTAAATCGGTGTCCAGCATCGGAGATGCTGACCGGACCAGAAACGCCGTGGAGGTGTGAGTTGGAGTCCAGCATGGACGGTCCATCGTACTTCTCGAGCTAGTGATCGTCAGCTGTGATCCACCAGCCCAGTGTGGAACTGTGGCAGAGTCTGCTACATACTCTCTTCATCAAGGGTAGCAGATCATCGGAGGTCCATCCAGGGGTATTCCACGCGTCAAAATCACATTTTTGTGCTCTCGTATACCTACAAATGTTGTTAGACCCTCTTTGGTTCAGCTTTGGAAGTACTTACATCATGAAATTGATAGCTGACCCGCCGCCCAGCGTGCCACCGGATGGCACCACAAGCGCCCTGTCGCCAACATCGCTGGAACTTTCGGCTTCCCAGAACAATGCAGTCATCTTCGTCTTATGCTTCTCGGGGTCGAGGTGACCGAGAGCGAGGCCAGGATAACAAACATCTTTGTTTCTCAAGCTGTTTTTGCCTTGCTCAATAAGAAGAATTTGAAGATTAGGGTCTGCTTCAGCGAGTCTACCAGCAAGGACGCATGCTGCGGTACCGCCTGCGAGGGTCAGCACAGCAACAACGGATCACGGCGGGGACATATTCCGTACCTCCTGCGATGATGATATCGACCGCTTTGATTTCCGGACGGAGGTAGTTGGACGGCTTGCCGAACTGGGATCTGGGAGGTTTCTTCAATGTCACCCCCATCTTGTATGCGGTTTTCCTCCCGTTCCTATGTGATTGTGGAAAGGAAGATTTAGGGAGGATGAGGGATTGTTGTTAAGGGTCAGTGTGAGTGAAGCTGGGGAAGTCGCACACTGTAATAGTGCAACATTGCACGACTTTCCTAGGAGGAAAGAGCATTCCACCCGACCTGACCGATCCATGTACACTTGATCTGGAGACAAATCAGGCACTGTAGGCAGGCAAGTGAGGCCGTGAGGCCGTGAGGCCGTGAGGCCGCCGATGCTGAAGTTATCAGATTCCACGACAGCAGAAAAATGATATCGATCTGATACCGCCGAAACAAAGCAGAACGCATCTCCGAGACTGACGAAAATCGGCATAAGAGCCATGGGCCCAGTCTGGCTCCAATATCACTGGTGGTTTGCCCAGAAGATATTCTTCGGTTTCATGACAAACGGGCCGCTCTGTTGACATGCGTTGTTTACCCTTTCGCACTTTCTCAGGGCAAGCACTCTTCCGCCAAGCACTTCTGATGTGTTTAGACTTTGAAAGATGTTCAACATTCCGAAAGGTTCACTCACTCACTCCTCACTCTATGGCTCAGCCCAAAAACATACTTTCACCCCACAAGCAACCTCTCAGCCAGGCCTCAGGTGTCAGGCCTCAACGAAGGCCTTTTTCTTCTCCGAAGGTTTGAATGGAAATAGAGCCATATCTTGGTTGCATGCTCCCAAACTCATTATCTCTACTACTTGAGTCGCGTCGTGAATTCCCGGCTGGAACAATATGCGGGGTAGCTACTGCGTATGAGATCTCTAAGATGTATTGGCTGCAGGATTTATATTCTAAATATTGATTTTGAATAGAGCGAAAATGCAAAGACCAATCAAGGACTTGGTGTGCTGAAGTGTCTTGGGCTGAGCGAGCGTAGCCGAGCCGCCTTTCAATCACCACCTTCACTGGCTCTAAAGCCACGGGCGAGCAGCGACGATCTGTGAAATGTTCAACTAACTCTGTTTGTTATTGCAAGTATCAACGAGCCTTTCCCTTTGCTCATGCGCCATAAGAAGCCGCGCTGCAATCGTCCAAGACCGCGTGATCATGCCGTATTGACTTTCGAGCGCCATCCTGAGCCGACAGGGACATCAGGAGGGCGCTTGGTTTGCCCGAGCATCTGCCATCTCTCAAAAACTACTCTGTATCGTATAGTACAGGAGTAGTGTTGGGGGAGACCCCAGGCTGGATTGAGCTTCACTCGACAGATCTTCCATCCTCGTAGGTCCACGGGCTCTACGTACAAGTACAGAGTAGTCCAGCCTTTAGACGTCCACTCGTGCATACGCCATCGCCACCCTCCCCGTCACTTACCGACCGCAATGCTGAACCCAGAGTCCAATCTACAGCGTAAATCACCGGTCCAGAATTGCCACGCTCCACCCCCCACGCTCTCCCCCGGAGGCGTTACGCCAGTTCCCATCCAATTCGCTTAGCCGAGGCGTTGGCGCAGAAAATTCGCAGAAGGAAGCATCCGTATTGATTACGTCACGACTCCCTGTTAGCACTACCTACTGTAAAAAGTATATAGACTTTCTTCACCTATTAGACGAGTCACCATCCTCTCTTCTCATCTGCGCGAGACTATCAGAATGCGCCTGCCACTCGAGGGTCCCTATTCATATCGATTATCGTGAACTGTGAGATAGAAGAGAACTTGAGACGGACTAGGGCAGAGGGAAGGGGAGGATCTACAGATACCAAGCTCTCAGACATTGCTATCGTGCGTAGCATTCGGGAGAGAGAGAGGACTTATTCCACTTTGGTAATGCCAATGAACTGGAGCTGGATGCCACAAATCTATCTCTCACACAGGCGGCAAATGTTATCTTCCAGCATATTGGTAAGTCGAATTAATGAGTTTCTATTTCGTAAGTAGGGTACACAGTCTTTGTTCTGATATCTATTAGAACATACTTTGTCGGCCAGCATTAGTATATAATGATTCAGCTAAATTGGAATGTATAAAGCGACGTTCATTATATTCATCGGCGCGCTACCATCGATAGCCTATACAAGTTTGCTTAACTTCGTCTGCTATTTTTTAACCTATGAAGCAAAGCGCTTTTCTAAAACTTGATCTTACACCTGTCCCAGGATGCCGCTACACCATTTTTTGAGATCCCTCCGTCTATCGAATCCAAACAAACATCGCCTCATCCTTTCCGGCGAAACTTGGCACTGGTATCCTACACACCAGCTCCCAGCCAGGCATATAATTTTCAAAGTACTCCTCGGTCGTGACATCCGCAAAGCCTGTATATCGATTTGCATTCTGCGTTCCAACGACCACAATGATGTTCCCTCGATATGCCTGTAACACTCTCTGCGTAAAGCTTCCAGCAGTTACCATATAAACCATTAGCAGTACCTTCCCTCTCCCGCCAGTGTTCTTCTTCAGGTATTCAACCCCATCAGCCTTCACCGTATCCTCAATCCACATCGTCCGATACTCGCTCGCCATATTATCCACGGCAACAACATCCACTTTCATTGCGCGAAGCATGTACGTCCAATATCCGTTCCCGCTCGCCATATCGATCACCCCATCCGCCTTGGCATCCGCAACCACCTGGGATACGATATGGAGCGCCTCATAGCTAGGCACAACGCACCCGAAGTGATGGTAGAACAGCGGCAGAATCGGATGCGTGTGTTTCGCATTTGCAGGACTCGCATACGAAGGATCAGGCAGCGGTCCAAGAAACGCCGTCTCCTGGCACGACAGCACCCACATATCGTAGTATGGATTGATGTGCGCCTTTGCCCGGGGGACCTTGAACAGACATTTCCTCCGCGACTGCAGATACTTCGCTACTGTCTCCCGAGGCGACCCTTTCTTCGCATTGGCTGCCAAGGAGGTGAGGGCTTTGGAGGTATCGGTTGTGGGCGCGAAGATGGATGTGTAGGCGTTTATATCTGCCGACGGGACCTTCGTCAATCAATCGCTGTTGCGCACAGTCTCGAGCGACGTTACCTCGATTTGCTGGCCGTGAGACTGGTATTTGTATTTCAGCTTGCCAGTATCAATTTGTTCTTGGACCTGGCGCAAGGTCATCGCAAACGATTCCGCCCTGTAGACATAGTCGTCGTTGGCGGGAAGAGCAAATGCATCGGCGATGGTCTTGGAGAAGTGATTATCGACTGTCCCTCGCCAGTTGGCAAGAATTTCGTCCGGGGAAGGCATGGCTGTGGCATCGAGGAGCTGAGAAACTGGAGATGTTGATCATAGGAGCCTTGGAATCTAGAGGTCCAGTGACGTCGATGTCCCGAAGCTTTCCCTACGGAGTGGGCAATCCGCCTTGGCGTTTTATTTTCCCCTGAAACACGCGAGCGAGCAGCACTCGCTACGCATTTTCTGGAGTAAACAAACGAATTACATGAAAGCGTCCTGTTAAAGACGCGGCAATCGGGCGACTTATGGGTTCTGTATTACAGTAGCGATCAAATAAATGCCTGTATCTTCAGTCGAAAGAAGTGACGAGGGTAAATAATCAACGCATGTAGGTAGGAGTGGAGGGGGTAGCATTCCTCATCCGCTGGCAAATCAGGCTTAACTTTCGGACAATGGCCAATCTAGTTCGGATGTTCATATATGAAAACGGATTGTTGGTTGTTTTTTGCATTTGCGTTATACTGGTCGTCTCATACAAAATTCGGGATATTTCAAGCTCCTGCTGTGTGCAGAAAAAATGCGTTTGGGTCCAAACCAAGCCCAGACCTTCCATCAAAGCCAAACGGTTCGTCGATCAATTAATTCTCAAGCAGAATGATAACAAAACAAACTCTATCAAACTCCGCTCCAGGACCCGCAAAAGCCCCATTCCCGAAATAATCCCTCACTTGAGATGAGTGGTATTGAACAGACGATTCCCTGTGTCTGTACCTTTCCTTCCCGTGAACTTGTTGTCAGAAATGCGCAAAGTGACGAGCTTCGGCCCAATTTGACCATCAAGAAACTCAAGCGGGCCGGCGATGGCCTCCTTCTGAACAACGCCTGCCACGACAATGATCGGGACCGTGCTGTGAAGCTGGGGAATACGACGGACGAACTCCACAATCGTCGTGCCGCGGTTGATAACCGAGTCTACAAGCAACGCCGTCCGTCGTCCTTCAAGATGATCGAACTCTAGATCCTGCGGCTCGTTGGCATGAACAAACATGGCGAGGGGAAAGGCATCATTGATGCCCTGAGCCATCGGTTCTCCGCCACGCATCAAAGCCACGATAACTGTCTGCTCCTCGTGCTTTAGCCGATGACCATCCGAGAGGTTGCCCTGTACATGAGGGATACGGTAAGTCTCCGTTCCAAGCAGGTCTGTCACCAATTCCATCGCCAAGAACCACCCTACTCGGCGGTGGACATCTTGAAGAACCGGACCTGCCTTTTCCGCATCACGCATGGGGGTTTGAAGCAGCATCGCGGCGTTCTTCGATGGGTAGCGAACTGAGACATGCTTTCGCCGGCGGAGCATGAGGTTGATGAACTTGGTGTCGTTGAGATCGACTAGCGGCAAGTTCTTCGCATCCAGGCGAGCTGCCGCATGGGCCGGGACCAGAGCCTGCCGGGCCACGAGACCGCTCTCCATTGCAAGTGCCAACTTCTTATCCATCGTCTTGCTTCGGGTTCCCTGCGTTCCAACGACGACAATGGCTTGGTCCGCCACCTGCATCATCTTCAAGTCAAGCTCACTGTCTCCGAAGGCCCAAACAGACATGCCATGCTCCTTCCTCAATCGGTGCACCAGAGCAGCTTTAACTTCTCCCGTCACTACATACTCGTCTTCCATGCGTCCTCCCCCGATAACTTCAATCATTAGGCCATGTTTACTCAGGATGTATTCCCACAACTGCTTCAAACCACAAGTAACAACCACGGCACCAGCAGAACGGTCTTGCTCCACCCGACGCAGCAGAGAGAGAAACTCGGGATACAATGCAACTTCATTCGCAACATGTCGGCAGAGGTCGTGGAATGTTTTGGAATCCAATTCCTGGTAGAGAAGCATGGCTTGAAGGAATGCATCGTAGGTGTATCCAAGAGGTCCGCCGAAGATAGCCTTTAGCCGATAGGCAATGTCCGAATGAGGATCGGTGCAAGGAAACCTCTCCCAGAACATCATGCCCGTGTCTTCTGCGTGCGCACAACGTCCTATCACCATCCAGTACCAGCATAGTCTTTCCGAGGGCAGCCCTTGACAATCAGGTCGATCTTTTCCTCCACATAGGATAGGTTGACTTCCTCGGTGCGAGTCCGCAAACCTTCGAGAATTTTCTTGGCTTGAGAATGTGTGTTGTCCGCAGCGAAGAAGCCGTTGTCGTCGCCGTTCCGGGTCGAGTGTTCGTTGATAACAGTGAACAGAATCCCATTTTTATAGCAAGTGCTGCGGAGCTCAGAGATCTCTCTGTCTTGCCAGATGCGCAGGTTCTCGATAGTCAGGTGAGGTCGTACCCGTGTTTTGTCGCCCTCTCAGCGCTTCTGGACAATATCTGGAGACACTTGGAGGTACACCATGTGCGTGAATATTTTTTGATCACTTGCGGTCCAAACCAGATCAGGTCCCTCATCGTCCTCGCCCCAGAGAGTATAATGGCCGGCCACAATCCCGACCACTTCGCTGTCAGAGCGTTCCTGGCTAACAGCTTCGATTGCCTTCTCTCGAGCCTGGTACTTCTCGGCTTCTGGCAATGAATTGAACTGCTCAAAGCGGCCAGGGGTAAATCTTCTGAGCGTGGCCGACCCATCGAAGAAGCAGAAGCTGTCTGGGTCAAGAGATTTCTTCAGCTCGCTCAACAGATGCGACTTTCCTGAGCCCTGAATTCCGTATACGCCAACCACCATAGGTTTATTGGCCGGAGGCTCGGATCCCTTGCGCTCTAGCATTGGTGGTACCGGCTCGGGTAGCTTGGGGTTTGCAGACACGGAGACATTTGATGGCTGCAAATCAAGGCCTCGAGCACCGAGCCCGGAGGTACGAGCACACTCTGGCGTCGTGGAGGTATCGACTGCCGTGTGCTGGCCTAGGTTCTCCCAACCTGTTTTCATGTCCGAGTCTGACTCCAAAAAATTCAGGTTTGAAGAGTTGGGGCATGCAAGAAGTGCGTCTGGTGTTGCATAGAGTTGAACCTCTCGATGCTCGCGTAACTTGGCCAAGAGGAAGGCAAGAGATATCCTAAATATTCCAGTGATTTTTTTTCTCAGTCTGATAGAGACGTGCAAGCTATCCTCAAAGCGAAAGCAAACGATGCTTCAGGGGTGTTGTGCAAGTGTCTTAGAAACCTCATATGCAATGCGACAAACCCCTCCGGCTCTTTCAAAGCTATCTTGAAGCGAGACTCTCTATATGGCTATAGCCAGCTTTCTAGTAATAAAACTGTCACCCACATGAAAATTGGATATGGGTGTTTGTTGGCTCGTAGCAGGTCAGTTGGCAAGTTGCATTGTTGCACAATCTTTCAGACAGTCTATAGTACGCCATTACTCGGCTCATGGAATCCTATAATCGTTCCACACATAAAGATATTGACAGTTATAGGCAGTATAATATGATCAGTTGAAAGAGCTCGATACGTTTTATTCCGTGAATGCTATCAAGTAGACAGATTCGTTAGTAGGTCTTCGCATGATATATTCCTGTACTTCGTAGTTACCCTCAAGGAATGAGCTAGCGCTTCGGCTAATCAATCACCTCTTCGACTGGTACCTGTTCCTTATTGCTCCCTCCAAGCTTTATATAAACCGTTCGCTGATACCAACGAGTCAAGACTATACACATGAGTTTTTGACTCCCACTTTTAGTAAGGTCTTTGAAGAAAAGTATGTATAGCAAGACCCATTCCATACCTAGTACTACGTGATGCACCCCCCCTCCCTTACTTTATCCTTCCTATACTAAAATTCAAATGTATCAGCAGCTGTCGTGCCCATATATCTCCTGATACCTGAACCGAGATCGGTCTGTAAGCCGTTTGCCCTTGGGACTACGCACAAAGTACCCGTCGCCAGTTCAACCTGCCTACCAAACACTTCCTTTCGACAGAATGCGTCCTTTGATCACCACGTTCCTCCGCCCCTGGCACAGCTTCTTCGGCCTCACCCGTCAAACGGGCCCAACTTGGCATAAGTCCCGCCTCCTAGAAGGGAAAGCCGAGCTGCTCGAGTCCGAGGCATCATGGCAAAGCTAAGCGAGGAATCCGACGTCTTCTTTGCGATCAGCCATGCGACACATGACGGGCACCCCAGTCGAGATCCTCCCTCGTCCAACGCAGTCGATGCGCCAATTCGCCGTCTACACCTAGATGGTGGCGAAGTACACGTCCCGCTGTGGCTTCTACCGGATGGCAGCTGCCATGTGCGGCGCGGCACATTGGCGCCAGGTGTGCGAGGTGATGAACCCGAAGAAAAGAGAGCAAGCTTCGGTAGGTTGCCACGCGCAATGAGATCGAGCCGGGGAAGTCCGTTCGGGTCTGTGGGAAGTTGAGACGAGTCTGGCCTCTCTTCTACTAAGCGCTTGTCTGGGATGGAAAACAGGAGGCGGTGCAGGATGCCGTCGGGCAGCACAGTATAGCGAGTTCCACATCGATCTCCCGTATAAATACTATAAGGAGTTTAGGTTCACCTACTGCCGACCCGAATGCCGTGGATCAAAACTGGATAGGGCATTGCAGGGGGTCGACGGACGCCGGCAGTGCACTTTGGAAGATGTTGAGAGTATGCGTGCGGGTGCCGTACCCATATGCTACAAAAGGTCAAGTTCGAAAATGCAAACGACATGATACTAGATCTGGACAGGTATAATGATGATAGGGCAAACTTATAAAGAAGGGCTCTACAGCGCAAGTTTGAACTGTAAGTCTATCTCGCAAACCCGTATCCGAAGCTGAAATCAAACAACGTGTCCAAGATGTGGATGGGCTTAATAATCAGACTTGGCGTCGCAACTCTTGGGGCCCTTCCCACTATTAATACTTGATTATTCTTCATACACCACACGACCCTCGTCAAACCGTACGGAAAGAAAACATTGGGTTTATATCAAGGATTTACGGAGGTAACAGCGGCTAACTTTCCTGACCCACTTTGGACGCTAGCTCAATCGAGCAATACCCACATTTACGGTCCCCGTCCCTCGACTCATGTCGCTGAACGCGATACTATTGCTCGATTAAATTAGTTTCCAAAGTGGGTCAGACAACTTGCCGTTGTACTACCTACTACCTCCGCAGGACGGCAGTTGTGTGCTCTAACAATTAATATAGAGAATTGTTTTCTCTCTCTCACACGTTTCCTGTTATTTGTGCCGACACTTTGTCTCGTGCTTTACTTACGTACAAGTGTCGCAGTCAATCGAATCTGAACCCGATACGCTCTCCTTTTATCTCTACGTCAATTCGCGATTTACTAGTGCTACTTTCTTCCTTACAGTTAGATCTTGCTTATGGTTAAATCTTCCTTATGGTTAAATCTTCCTTATACGTAGTAGGATAATCTTCCTTATAGTAGTAATTAAATGTCGGGACCCAGTTTAGCCCTTTATTAGTACGTAGTACGTAGTAGTAAGTCGTAAAGCGGAAGTCTCTGAATAGTTTAAAGCCCTATCAACTCTACTTACTGCACAGACGAATCGCCCCTAATGTAAGGGCAACAAGCCCCACTATTCAATACTTGCTTAAAGACGCTTTTCAAAGATGAACCCTTACTTACTGTATGAGGTTGTTGAGCCGAGCCTTGGTATAACTAGTAAGCGATTGCAAAATTACCACGGTACAGGCGTAATTGTTTCACCCTTGAGGCTCGGGTAACCAGGGGGGTTTGTGGAAACTAAACTTTTGAGGCACCCTCAAGGGTGTAACAATTAATCGTCGGCTTTAAGACTGAAAGGATACCGGTATAAGGAGGCCCACCTAAGCGAGCCGACGATTACGCCTACTACGTACTACTACGTATATCGCGGTACTTTCAATATACTTTATACTACTATATTCATTAAGGGGGATGGATGGTAGCAACCTTGCCTTGTGAATAGCTTTAGTTCAGCCTCTACGCTCGGCCCAGCTTTTGTTTACGTACCGTATTTCAAGGGGCGACGCAGCCTCCTTCAGGGGCCAGCGCATGGAAGAAGTCTGCGCTGCCCTACAGAGGAGCGGCATTCAGTTCAAGGTGGATAATAAGGCATGCGAAAACAGACTCCACCAATGTCGAAGTATGGGAAACCATCAGCTGAGCTGCTCTGTTGGTAAACGGGCCAAGATAGGAGAGTATATGTTATAAAATTATGAAACGTCTGGAAAGAGGCTAATATTATCTCCGCAAGCTAAATCTATAACCGAAATACGTAGTACAAGACGAGCATGACGAGCTTGAGTACCTCAATCTTTTTAATAATGACGAAGACGGTGCTCATCTTAACGTCTTAATCAGATTTTATCATGCAATTATCTAGCTGAGTCACAACTGATTAGCAAAAATGCTCTTAAAGAAATTGATACGCAGGTAATACCTAATAGAGATAAAGAAACGCACAAAAAAGAGCTTAGCGTTTAGCACTTACTCCCCCCCACGAGTACATGTCGAAAGTATAATTTCGCAAGGGATCTTACCAATGTTTAGACCAATCAACTTACGTAGTACGTAGTATAAGAATCCAGCCTTGAAAAGTATCTTTAGGTCAGTATTTAGTCCGTGCAATGGAGTTGACAGGGCTTTGAGCCATTCAGAAACCACCGCTCTATGATTTGTGGGCCCAAACTGGGTCCGACATGTATCATGGGGGGGGGAGTAAAAAAGGAGCGACTTATAGATTTAAAGATAAAAGTAATCGAGGCAGAATAGCGATTATAATAAATATGTCTTTATTTTTGATTTCTAATCAATCATTCAAATTCGACGCTTTGCGACATCATGCTTCTGCTATAATCCTGCTAGTGAAGATAGCTCCGCGATGCAAAATAGTACTGGTCGCTTATCTGGCCCCGCAAGACCTCGCCCCTTTTGTGCACAAGATTATGTATTAGCCTTGGCGTCTTCGATATACCCGTATTTAAGAGGTCCTCGAGATATCCAAACTCAAACCTCGATTAAGATTGTCTTGTTGCCAAAGCTGAGCTTGAGCCAACTTGAGCCAGCTTGGGCTAGCTTAGGCAGCTTATTGGGGCTTGAATTACGACTTACCATATAGAAACTGGGCACAAGGCTTGCCATGCACTCATAGAAACCAGAAAGTGCGGTAGATAGACAGCATCCAAGCGAGTGAAGATCTTTTTCTTTGTCCAAAATGCCATCAATTAATCAATTTGGGACAACTGTACGTAGCTCCGTATCACGGCTGCTTTAGCGCGTCCCTAAAACCAGGTTATACCCTGTACCGGGGTTTATGAGGTTACAGTATGAATGAGGCTCTCTTTTCCGTTCCGTCGTCCGAACTCTGTGCTTATCGCATTGCGATGGATGAATAAGATACTACGTGAAACAATCAAGCTGATAAATAAGCGAGCTGTACTAAGCCCAAGGGGGAAGGCCCGCATTTCCGAGATACTACTATTCCTAATCTCATATTGCCCGAAGGGTTTTAGTTGTAATACGGAAGTAAACTTCAAGAGCTGTCAGGTCTAATCTAAGCCTTCAAACCCAGCCCCATCTCCATCTCCATCAAACAAGCCCGCCAAGTCCACCCCTTCTCGGACATGAGGGAAAATGCCACTTGGCGGGCGGGGCAGGAAGGTAGTTGTGGGAGAAGGTAAACCATACGTACGGATATATTCATAAAAATAAAGATTTATATACGTACGTACCTGCCATCATTCTCATCGAATCTTTCCTTTCTCATCAAATCTTTCCATTCATTTCTTCAATCCCTCATTTTGAAGACGCAAGACCAAAACCAACATTCGTTATCCATTATATCGTTTAATTCATATATCTGGAATATATCTATTAAAATACCCAAAAATGCGTGCCTCTTCCGCTATGCTTCCCATCCTCCCCCTCCTCGTCGGCTACGTCGCCGCTCAGAAGGTCGTCGGCACCGCCATGGGCTTCGCTGAGGGCGCGACAGGTGGCGGGGATGCGGCGCCGGCGATACCGGCTGACATTGAGGAGTTGAAGCTCTGGCTCGGAGACGACGAACCGCGCGTGATTGTGCTGGATAAGGAGTACAACTTCATAGGGTCTGAGGGTAAGGTGACTGAGATGGGGTGCCGGCCGCCGAACAACAAGTGGTGAGTTTGTGTGTTTTGTCTTGTTTTGCTCTGGATTGATAGGTAGATGAATGGATGGGAGAGACGACCATGCTCCCACCTGTTTCCACTCGGAAAGAGAACGAAAGCTGACTTGGATTTGTGTGTAGCCCGGGTAACGGTGGTCAAGACGCGATCAACGGTGCTAACTGGTGTGCCGACAAACCTGAGATCGAGGTCACGTATGACAAGGCTGGTATCAAAGGAATCGACGTGGCTTCCCACAAGACAATCCTCGGGATTGGAAGCGAGGGTGTCCTCCGAGGAAAGGGTCTTCGCATGGTAAAAGGTGTCGAGAATGTGATCATCCAGTGAGTCCTGCTCTGGCAGAGACATCCGCCTCCCCCCCCCCTTTTTTCCCATCTCAATCTAAACCCCCAAAAACAGGAACATCCACATCACCGAACTCAACCCGCAGTACATCTGGGGTGGAGACGCCATCCAAACCTTCGGCGCCGCCAAAATCTGGGTCGATCACGTCAAGATCTCCCTGATCGGCCGCCAGATGTTCGCCGCCTCGTCCGGCGGCTCGACCGGCGGCAGCGTCACCATCTCCAACAGCGAGTTCGACGGCCTCACGTCCTGGTCCTCGCGGTGCAACAACAAACACTACTGGACCATCCTGCTGAACGGCGAACAGGACTCCATCACCCTGTTCGGCAACTACATCCACGACACCGCCGGCCGCTCGCCCAAGGTCGCCGGAAAGGCGACCGTGCTGCACGCCGTCAACAACCTCTTCGAGGAAGTCGACGAGGGCTTCGACGTCACGGCACCATCCGAGGTCCTCGCGGAGGGCAACACCCTCGACCGCGTCGAGGAACCCATCCTGGAGGATAAGAAGACCGGAAAGCTCTACACCCAGGATGGAGCGGCCTGCGACCCCATCTTCGGCCGCGACTGTCTCGCCAACACCGTCTCCGATTCCGGGTCCTTTGAGAGCAAGGACCAAGTGTTCGACGCCTTTAAGGGCTGCCCGGCCGTCGAGCCGGACAACTCCATCAACCCCCGCGTGACGGCCGGTGTTGGGAAGTTGGGCTGCGGCGGCGGTGGCTACTAGGAGGTGCCACTAGAGAGGGCCTTTGGGGAATTTTCTCAAAGATCGAAGAGAGCAAGACTTTTTTCCCTCTTTGTATATATTTTCTTGCGTGGTGTAGACATCACGACACTTTGATTTTAATCATTCCCACTACCATTTCGCCGGCGAGGCGTGGTATACATACCCCCAGACTGATCTTGCCGCATGCTTGATAACTGGTCTTGCTGGAAGGAAGTATGGAGAGGAGATCCCTCGCTGGGTGCTGAGGATGCCTCGCTACGGGCCACCTCCCAGATTCGGCACAGCACCATAACTTCCTTCCTTCCTTCCTATTTGGAATATCAGCACATGTCAAACGACGAACATGATATCTCCAATCCATGATCCATGAAACGAGGGGAATTTTTTTTTAAATAAATTAAGAGCTTTGCTTGAGCCTGACTTACCTATCTTCATTCAAGATTGAAATAAAATCTTTTTCAAAAGACCAATTCTCTCAAGTCTCACGGGGAAAAAACGGCTATTTTCTTTTTCTTTTTTTTGCTCTCTCGACACTATATATTTACGGATTGAAACGAAGAAAAGTCGGCAACACGACACGCGCGATGGAAAGAAAAGATAGAGGTCAATAAATAAACACAAAACATTCCTCCTTCTTTCCTGGAAAAGAAAAAGGGTGGGGGGGGAGGGTAAGCGAGTCTCGCCTTGAATGCTTGTATCGTTGATCGCGCCTGTTGATGTGTATCGTCTTACATAAGTATGAGGCTACGATTCTTTACCTGTACGAGGTGCCTCTTACGAACCTCCAGCTTTCTCTTGCGGCTGAAATTCTGGAAAGCCGAGATTGAATCAATCAATCATCGATACGCGGCCACTCCTCGAGGAGAATAGATCTTCCCTTAGCGGCGGTGCCGAAGCTCCTATTTCTCGATCACTGCGACGACTACGATCTATACCTGGCGTGCGCACCGACCGAAAAGATTAGGAGGGTTTGCGATGGAAGGGGAACGAGTGTAGTAGTAGCAGTTGTTGTTAACGTCGGGCGGGTAGCAGGCGAAGCTTGCCGCCCTGGGACCTCTCCCATAGGCCACGGCGACGTGCTAAGCTAAGGAGTTACATACAAGACAGCCCCTGGGGGGAACGAATGTAAGAGATGGGAAGGGCTTGGTTCGATCGATCGGAAACACGGTATCGCGCCTTCGCTAAAAGTGCTTTGCAACGTCCAAGGCGTGATAGAGACCCGAGGGGTGCACATGCGGTGGTTTCCAAGAGCGGACATGCTAGCAAACTCAAGAGCGAGGAAGCCTGATTAAGACACTAGTCTTGTTTCGCAACATACTATTAATAGCATTTGTACACTTTACCGCGACATGGAACAAAGCTCGAGAAGGCTAGTAGAGAGCTTCACGAAGCCTTTAAGCTTTTATCGGAATAAAGACTTCCGTAATTAATTAAGCCTTTATCGAAGCTCGAGCTCTTGCTTACGATGTCTTTTATAAGCTGCTTACGATACGGATTACACAGCGAGACTTTACTCGGTAATATATTGAGTTTGAATGTTACGACGTTAATTTAAGATGCGCTTGCGGTAATCGTCGGTTACCTCGAATTTGATTTGTAATAAATCCCGACCTGGCTGCGCCACGTCGGAACCACCAAGGCGGGACAGTAACGGTATACTACTTATTAAACAAGAAATATTAATATAAGAAAAATTAAAAGCCCTATGTGCTTAATAAAAATCGTTTTACAAACGTGAATTAAGAATATGAAGATGCAATCCTTTGTGGTGACCTGATACATTAAAATGACTTGGAAATATAGCTAGAAACTCCTTTAAATGATTCAATTTTACTTGTCTGCTTCGAACATCTTGATAACCACAACCTTAATTAATTAAAGAAAAACGGCACATAGATTGAAAGTAAATGATCTGATCTATTATATCACCAAAGGCATTAATTATTAAATAAGAGTTCGTAGTGATGCCGTATTTTTTCAATAGGTTAAAATAAACGTCCGATTTTCGTGTTTTTCGCCTATTCTAATATTTACATTGCAATCCTGATATATACGCAATCAATAATCATCGTAACCTATAGTACTCTCCTTCGCTATTCGACTCTCGATATTATCGTCAAGCTCAGAATCGCTATTATATAAAGCTGACTCATCGTCGCTACTTTCTTTGTCGTCCCCAGAATCGATTATGACAGCGGTTTGAAGAGCTTTGGCGCTAGGCTTCCGAGTTCGAAAAGGGACTCGATTACTTTTAATCGAACGGTTTTGATAAGGTTGAAGTTTCGAATACACCAAGACTCGTAACGCACCGGACTAATAAGGTCGAAAAGTGCAATAAAAAGTACACCAAAAGTACCATTTTTACTACTTTAACCCAGCACAATAAAGGAGTAACAATTTGAACCTACAATTTGATCAATTGATTAATAACAAACTCAATACGGTGCATCTTTCTCTACAAAATTATTTACGATGTAATTGTTGGATTATTTTCTATTTATCATAAAGAAGCCAATTTTACTGTCCCGCCTCAGTGGTGCCGACTTGCTACAGCAAGCCGGTCCATTCTTTCGAATTGAATTCAAGATAACCGACGATTGAAGGCCCGGCCTTTTTGCACTTCCCTTTCTATCGCATTACACGACGGCGTTTCTTTTTTCTTTTTCTTTTTCTTCTTTTTTTCTTTTCGTAACTAGAAGGATTCGATCAAAGACTTTTCTAGGTGTTATTTCGAAAGCTTCTAACTATTTTCAAAGCTTTTCTTAGCAAGCCGGCCGACTTTTAAGCCCTTTTGACTATTACGAAATCCTACTTTAAGCAATGCGCCTTTTTTAAAAAAATTTTTTTAAAAAAAAACTATTACAAGCGCTTATAGCTGACCCCGATCCGGCCTCGATACTAATCGTCTTACGATTCAAATATAATCGCGCTTTTAAGCTAGCTACGGCAATCTATACTTGCTTTCTTTAGTTTTCAAAGTTTTTTTTTTCCCCTCGACGAAAGGTCCTCCCTCCTCTTATTATAATCTATCTTATCCGTAAAAGTGTCAGGAGGAGAAGGCCTAGTCAGGTGAGCTAACTAAATACGTCTGATATATAATAAAATAGCTCTCCAAGAAGTGAGTGGCCTCAGTTATACCGTCTTTTAGGCCCGTTCAGCCCAATAGTAAAGCTACTCAGCTATCGGTTCCTCATAAACAAAAAAGCGCTCACGAGAATAGCTTTTGCTGCACCATTATAAAATTACTTCCCAAAGCTTTCTTGTACGTATGTAACCCTTCAGCCTAGCACGTCGTCGTACTTTGTAAAAGGTCCTAAGGCGGGCCAGGCTTCGCTTGCTACCCCGCCCGACGTTAGTAAATACAATAACAACAACATACCGTAAGAGTGCTCTGCAAACACACCGGCCTCATACAAGAGCTAAGAGCGCGAGCTATTACAGCTGCACAATCATAGCGAGAACGATGTTGGTATATATCATACGAACCGCGGCCGCTGACACAGGCTACACGTATTCGACAGTTATCCAGAGGCAACCCGGTGCAAATTCCAGGAAATGCTTTCACAAGGGTTTGTTGACAAGGAGTCTGCGCGACACCGCGAGATCGGAAAGCCGGGGGCTATCTAAGTAAGAGCAAGAAAGAAGCCTTTGTCGAACGTAGTTTCTACTTTGGATTAGATAATACTTTCGGTATGATTCCTTTACTTAACCAGTCGCCGTATCTTAGAGGAGGTCCCGGGGTCCCAAGCATGGCGTTTTGGATATCCGCCGGACGTGTGTAAGTGCTGCCTGCTACCTACTTACTACTTACTACCAGTAATAGTCAGCGGTGCTGACTTTTTACCTGCGGGCTTCCGGTAACAGTCAGGGCAAGGAAGTGTTCCCAGGTCAAGCAAGCGTCCCATCTCAAATAACATGCAAAGCCGAGTTAAAAAATCCTCAAAAAAGCATTAAAAAATCAAGGTCTGCATCCTAAGGAACCTCACAACCCAACAAGCTATAGTAATAAAAGCTATATCTACGTATCGGCGCTCCGATCTCCTATTAGATC